GGAAAAATAGATAGCGTAGCCTAGAAAAGTAAGTGTCCTCCTAACCATACTGAAGCACTCGTAATTTGTTGACCATGTCCATTTTGCTCTAAGTCCATGATGGCAAACTATGGCACGTATACCATAGGTGGCACACAGAGCCCTCTCTATGTGTGCTCGCGCTGGCGTCCCACTCTTAGGCTTTCAGCTGGGTTTTATATAACCTTTTTGCTTTAGGGCTCCACCACCATGTGCCAAAAAAAAAAAAGTTGCAATCAATTTCAACTGCTCATGGGGGAAAAAAAGGTCTCACAAATTTGGAATTGATTGATTGAACTTTTTAATCCCACCCAGTCTACCATTACCACCACAACCACACCCGCCCAATGGGCCATGCCCACTCAATTGGCCACACCCACCCAATGGGCCACGCCTGACCAGCACACGAAGATACATAAGTTCGGTTTGGGTTGCAATTTGGGCACTTGGTCTCTAAAAGGTTTGCCATCGCGGGTCCTTTGGAGTTCATGTCCTAGTTACCACGACTGGGCTCCTTGGCGCTCTCTGAGCTTGGTTGTTTTCTTGCAGATGTTTCATTACCAAACTAGGTAATGCTGCAGTTGCACTGAAGATGTTACATAGGTGGATAATGAAACATCTCAGAGAAAACAGCCAAGCCCAGAGAGCCCCAAGGACCCCCATAGTACAAACCCAACTACACCCATTCTCTTCCATCAGTATGATGGGCCCTTCCTACATGGTGTCACTTCCTCTGTGAGCCCAAGTGACTCTGCTGGCAAAGGGCTGTGCAAATAGCTCATCTCCCACAGTGGCTATCATTTCTGGTTGGTCAACTCAAGAAGCATGGGAAACACTGAAAAGTATGATCATAAAAGCCCATATCATCACAATACCACTGAAAAAGAAAAACAAGAAATCCAAAAGGAAACCAGCATGGCTGCACAAAAAAAATGACTCTTATAAAATGAAAGACAAAAAAGATAAATATAAAAAAATGGAAAGAGGGACAGATAACTAAGGCAGATCAGCAAATAGCCCAAATCTGCAAAGATGAAGTCAGGAAAACAAAGGCTCAGAATGAACTAAGATTTACAAAAAAAAGTCAAAGATAAAAAAAAAAGTTTCTTTCAACATATAAATAACAAGAAAAAAGTCAAGGAAACAGGCCACTAAAGAGAAAAAATGGCAAGGAAGTAACGGGCAGTAGAGAGGAAGCAGAGCTGCTTAAGTCATACTTTGCATCAGTCTTTACACCAAAAGAAACTCTAGCCCAACCTACCAAAAACATAACTGTAAAAGACAGACTAGAAATAAAAATTAAAATAAGCAAGAAAATGGTTAGAGAACACCTCTCTCACCTTGATGTACATAAATCACCAGGACCTGATGGATTACATCCCAGAGTTCTGAAGGAGCTGGCAGATGTTATCTCAGAACCATTGTGCCATATCTTTAAAAAATCTTGGAGCACCAGAGAACTATCAGAGAATTGGAAAAGAGCTGATGTGGTTCCCATCTTCAAAAAAGGAAAAGAGAACAGACCAGGAAACTACAGACCAATCAAACTAACATCAATACCTGAGAACATACTGGAAAAGATAATCAAAAAACAGATCTATGAACATCTAGAAACAAATAAAATTATAATTAGCAGCCAGCACGAGTTTGTTAAAAACAGATCATGCGAAACCAATCTTATTTCATTCTTTGACAAAGTGATGAAATTAGTAGACCAGCGAAATGCTGTGGAGATAGTATACTTAGACTTCAGTAAGGCATTCAACAAAAGAGACCACAACCTACCTCTTGCTAAGCTAGGAAAATGTGGGATAGACAGCATCACCACCAGATGGATTTGTAACTGGCTGATGAACTGTACTCAACGAGTCGTCCTTAATGGTACTATGTCTACACAGAGGGAAGTAAGCAGTGGGATGCTACAGGGTTCCGCCGTACATCCAGTACTCTTCAATATCTTCATAAATGATTTAGATGGAGGAATAGAAGGGGAACTCATCAATTTTGCAGCTGACAGTGAGCTAGTAGGAATAGCCAACACCCCAGAAGACAAGCTCAGGATCCAAAGAGATCTTGACAGACTTGAGCAATGGGCCCTATCCAACAACATGAAATTTAATGTGGAGAAAAGCAAGGTTTTACACCTAGGCAGGAAAAAACAAAGGCACAAGTATAGATTAAGTGAAACCTGGCTCAAAAACAGTAACTGTGAGAGGGACCTTGGACGCTTAGTGGATGATCACTTAAACATGAGCCAGCAGTGTGCGGCAGCAGCCAAAAAAGCTAATACAATCCTGGGTTGTACAAACACAGGCATAGAATCAAAATCACGTGAAGTATTATTACCGCTTTATAAAGCCTTAGTAAGGCCACATCTGGAATACTGCATCCAGTTTTGGTCACCACATTACAAAAAGGATGTTGAGACTTTGGAAAAAGTGCAGAGAAGAGCAAGTAAGATGATCCAAGGCTTGGAGACTGAAACATACGAAGAACGACTGCAGGAATTGGGAACGTCCAGTCTAGAGAAAAGAAGGTCTAGTGTGGACATGATAGCAGCCTTCCAGTATTTGAAGGGCTGCCACATAGCGGAGGGGGTCAACATGTTCTCCAAAGTACCAGAAGGCAGGACAAGAAAGGACAGGTGGAAACTAATCAAGGAGAGAAGCAACCTGGAAATAAGGAGAAACTTCCTAACAGTGAGGACAATTAACCAATGGAACAGTTTGCAACTAGAAGTTATGGATGCTCCATCACTGGAGGTTTTTAGGAAAAGGCTGGTATAGGTTTGGGGTCTCCTGCTTGAGCAGGGGGGTGGAGTAGAGTCCCTCCAACGTCCTTTCCAGCTCTATTTTGATTCAGTTTCATTAAATCAAGGCACCAAGTAGGAACTGAATCTAGAAAAAGGCCGCTTGGGGGCGGTAGAGGTCCACACTCAATTCACCTCCTGATGTTAGTGGTCCACCAGAGACTGAACCGAAATTCTTACTGGAAAGACCCCAACTGCCCACAGGAAGCATTCGGCACCATCTGAATCAGTCCCACAGAGGACGCAGGTGGCTCTTAATTGTGACTGGATCAGGAAACGATCGGACCATAGCAACCAGGTAATAAAAAGTTCATCCATTTCCAAATCATTTAACAGAATAACCCAGTTGGAAGGGATCTTGGAGGTCTTCTAGTCCAGGGCTTTTCAACCTTTTCACCCATTGTACCACTTTTAGGATATGGCAATATCCAAGAACCACCAATCGCCTAGCAAGGTGTCAAAAACTTAATGACCCCCCCCCAAAAAAGGGAAAAAGTGATGAAGTACAGGTAGTCCTCGACTTACAACAATTCGCTTAGTGACAGTTCGAAGTTACAATGGCACTGAAAAAAGTGCCCCCCAAGCCACGGCCGAGCAGGACACCTGCCTGCCCGCCCGGCAGTGCTCTTCCTCCTGCCCGAGGTTTTCATTGTTGTGAGCATTTCCGTTGAGGATTGGCAGCGGGGGTGGGGTGGGGGGTGTTTGGTCTCCCACCATCTGCTGGGTGGTTGCAGCAGGTTTTGACCACTTCACATGACCCTGGGACACTGTGACCGTCATAAATATGAATCAGTTGCCAAGCATCTGAATGTAAATCAAGACCCTGGAGATGCTGCAACATTCCAGCTGATCAGCGCTTCTTCTGGGGTCAGTGGAAGTGCCAGGATCAATGCCGAGGTCCAGCTGGAGCCTGGCGCTGATCCTGGCACTTCCGCTAAGCCCTGCAGCTCCAGCCATCTCTCGCTCAGGCTTGTGTGGTGCTGCCACCAGTTCAGCTCATTCCCCTCCCCCACTACTACTTTTCTAGAATGGTCGCATGCCACCTGCCAGGTGCCAATGTACCACAGTTGGTACCCATATCACTGGTTGAAAAGGCCTGTTCTAGTCCAACCCCTTGCTCATGCAGGAGACCCTATACCATTCCGGACAAGTGGCTGCCCAATCTCAACACAAGGTCTAAAGTTGGATGTCTCTAGATGAGCCCATGACTGCCACGGAGGTCACAAAGTCCCTTGCCAGAAGCAGCTCCCAAGGCTGGAGATTGTCACTGACAGCCAAATGAGAGGCCACTCCATCAGCAGCTGAGAGGCCACTGCGCGGTCCCTCTGGCTCCTCATCAGTGAGATTCAGGACTTCAAAGCGATTCTTGATGGTCTTGAAAATGGTGGATAAAAGTCGAGATCGTATCACAGACACTGGTTGGCGTTCTTTTTCTTCTTTAGCTTAACTTGGAACTTGGAAAGGAGCAACTCGTGATTTGTTCCACGGTCAGCCCCCCCCCCCGATAACGTATTTGCCTTTTTTTAACTGAGCTCTTCCGTCTGGTGATACCCACGATTATATGCACCACTTGGGCGGTTTGAAAACGGTTAGCAATGAAGGACTAATTGGCCGAAGCTAATAGAGGGTTCCCCTGCTTCATTTCTCTTTCCTAAGCCCATCGAGTCCAACTCCGCTTCCCTTCGGCCGGGCACCCGCACGAGGCATTTCATCCGGCGAGGCAGCTTCTCCGGCGGCAGAAGCCCCGTTCCCCCCCCTCCCCCGACTCGCTCGGGAAGAGCTCCGGGGGCGACGAAGCCCCTCGGGCAACCCTGGCGATGCTCCCCTTGGCCGCCCGAGGGCGCCATACCCCCGCACTCCGGCAGGGAGCGCCTTTGCCTCCCGCCTCCTCCGGCGCCGCCGCCGCCCTCTTGCCCGGCCCCCCCGCCAGGACCCCGGCCTCCGCCCCAGCGCAGCAGAATGGCCAGGCAGGGGCGTCGCTAGCGAGGAGGGTACCGAGCCCATTCGGGTGGGCGCCAAGGAAGAGGAGCTAACGTCACCCCCCCACCCCCACGCGCGTTTCAGGGCGCGAGTGACGCCTCTGAAGAAAAGGGGAGCCGATGACGCGCCCGCGGAATCCCCTCCCCCCCAGCAGCCCCACAGCCCGGCCGGCCGCGCGGCACGCCGGGAACTGTAGTCTCTCGGGCGGCCACAGGCCCCGCCCTCCTCCACCCGGAAGTGGGCTGGCGGCTCCAAGATGGCGTCTCCTCCCGCGGGGGGCCCGATGGCGATCGCGATGCGACTCCGGAACCAGCTCCAGGCCGTCTACAAGATGGACCCGCTGCGGAACGAGGTGAGGCGGGGGGGGCGGGCGGGGGCTCCGCTCGCCCCGTGGCCCCCGCGGACAGCAACCTCTTCTGCGGGCGCGGGGACGCCGACCCCCGGGGGCTCCGGTGTCGGAGACGGGGCGGCCTGGCCGGGAGACGCGGGGAGTGGGCGGGTGTGGACTTCGGGGAGCGGCTCTGACCCGGCTCGCCGCCCGCCCGCAGGAGGAGGTGAAGGTGAAGATGAAGGAGCTGAACGAGCACATCGTCTGCTTCCTCTGCGCCGGCTACTTCATCGACGCCACCACTATCACCGAGTGCCTGCACACCTGTGAGTGGCCCGGGGAGGGGCAGGGGGGCAGGGGAGGGCGCCGGGCGAGGAGGGGGCCAGATGCCTCTGCCTCCCCGGAGAAAGCGGGCGCCCGAGAACCGCCGGGGCCCCGTCTCTCTCTCTCTCCGCGGGCATCCGACGCTGTTATCCTTACGTCTTCGCTGTGCGTTCCTCTCCGCCCTTCGGGGCAGGCGCCGCCGGAGCATCTGCAACGGGCCCCTGCCAGGCAACCCCCCTCCCTCCCCCGCACAGGAGAATTTGCCCCTCTCAGAGTCAGGAAGTTCCCCCAGAAGCTGCCTGGACCTGGTAGTCTTCACCCGCTGGCTTAGTCAGGGATGGTCCGATATTTGACGGCTGCCCTCCCGACGACTCCCCCTCCGGCACCTGTCAGCTCCAACGTACCCAGAGGAAAGAGTCGCCAACTCCCTTTGACATCTTGGTCCCATCCCCGTCCCCCCCCCCGTCTTGCTGCTTGAGTTCGGCTGCTCTGCGCTGCCCACGAGACTCTGCCCTGGGCCCAACAAGGCAGTGTGGAGGTGGGCAGCCCCTTCTGTGCTGTGGCAGCTGCACCCCCCACCACCACCGCTGCTACACCGGATGGGGCCACCCGAATTCCTTGCATTGCAGTATTATGAGCCAGGTCCTATCAGCCAGGTGGAGATTGGGAGAGATCTGGCTGAAAAACAGCCCCTGTGAGAGGGACCTTGGAGTCCTAGTGGGGGGGTCACTTGACTATGAGCCAGCCCTGTGTGGCAGCAGCCAAAAAAGTGAATACAATCCTGGGTTGTATAACCAGAAGCATAGAATCAAAATCACGCAAGATATTATTACAGCTTTGTAAAGCCTTAGTAAGGCCACACCTGAAACATTGCATCTAGTTTTCAGTCACCACATTATAAAAAAGATATTGAGACTTTGGAAAAAGTGCAGAGAAGAGCAACTAAGAGTATTAAAGACCTGGAGATAAGAACATATGAAGAACGGTTGCAGGAATTGGGTTTGTCTGGTCTAAAGAAAAGAAGAAAGAAAAGAAGAAACGGGGTGACATGATCGCAGTATTGCAGTGTTTGAGGGGCTGCCACAAAACCTCCTGATAGACCCTGCCCAATAGTTCTATTAAAACTGAAGTAGAAGAGCTGCTCATGAGTGTGGTCATTTGGCCAGCCAAGGGTCTCTGTAACATGCCCTCATTTAGCCCGTATTTGGCTATTTCTTGAAGGAGGATCTCGTGAGTCCAGATGCTCCAGGCGTTTGGCATTGCCCTCGTCTGCTAAGCCAGAGACTCTGTCAAAGAGTAGGATGAGGCGAGTCAGCCATCCAAATGCTCTGGGGTTTATTCATTCAAACTATTCACATGTTCTCCGGCATCTGCTGCACAAAGGGTGGCCTAATCTTTGCAAGAGGAGAAAAACAGCATTGCCCTCTCCGCTTGCTAGAGGTCGAACGCAGCACTTAGGTCCTGTCCCTGCGCGCCCCCCCCCCATCCCCACAGTGCCAGCTGCATGAGCCCTACTGGTCAGGGAAGGCAGAAGCGGGGCAGGGTCCAAGCTTGCCTGGCCCGCCAGGCCCTTGGTGGCGGCCAGCCATAGCACCTCTTCCCTCCCGCAGTTTGCAAGAGCTGCATCGTGAAGTTCCTGCAGACCAGCAAGTACTGCCCGCTCTGCAGCACCAAGATCCACGAGACTCAGCCGCTGCTCAACCTCAAGCTGGACCGCGTCATGCAGGACGTTGTCTATAAGCTGGTGCCTGGATTGCAGGAGAGTAAGCAGTGGAGGGCTTGCGGGGCTCTCGGCCCACCCGCTCTCGAGGGGGGCTTCCTGGGGAACCTGGTGATGGTCAGTGGCGGAAGATTCCTGGAAGGCCCATGGGCAGCAGGGAAGCCCCCCCCCCCATGACAGGAAAGCTGTTACAGTCACGTGCAAGTGGCAGGGGGGCTCCAACCTGCTGCCTGTGTCCTTCTGTGCAGGGGGTGCCAAACATCCCCCTTGCCTTGCACCACCCCCCCATTTCCCTGGCTGTGCCCCTCCCCACCCCTCGTCCCCAGGGAAGGCAGCTCCTCTCCTGAGAGAGAAGGGGCGATTCTTCCTATGCTGCTGTAAGGAAAGGCCCTTGGTCACTGGGGGGGGGGGAGAGTGTGTGAGTCCCTCCTGGCAACATGTTTCTGCTGCTAGGCATTTTTAGGTTTAGATCCAAAAGTTATTAAAGGCGTAACATCTTAGAATAATTTTGTGCTTTTTTTCTGAAGATTACTGTAGGATCTTATTTAACAATGTTTATTGTCTGGTTAAATCATTTAGGAAGCTTTCGTGAAAGGCTGACTTGAGTAGCCAACACAGCAGTTCAGCAGCACCTCAGCCTCCTGTGTTAAGGGAGCTTGCCTGGGCCAGGCGCAGACAGGCAGACAAGTGTCCCAGGTTGGGCCAGCAAATTGCCCTTCATTCCTTGCCTCTCTTCTTTCTCTTCCCCCCCCCCCCAAATACCCCAGGTGAGGAGAGGAGGATCCGGGAGTTCTATCAGTCCCGAGGGCTGGAGCGGGGGAGCCAGGCCAGCCACGAAGGTAAGACTTTCCCTCCTGCTGCGCACAGCCTGCTGTAGAGGGGATTCTGGGGGTCCAGAGCGGTGGCTGATGTCCTGCCTTCCATCCCAGACCCTGCCTCAGACCGCGTGGGCCTGCCCTACACCACCTTTGACCATTCGCGTGCTCACTATTACCGCTTCGATGAGCATGTCACCTTGTGCCTGGAGAAGCAGAGGTGAGGAAGGGAAGGCCAAATTCAGCTCTGGGGAGGGGCCAGGGCCCCTCCCGCTGCTCTGCCTCCAGGGCCTTTGCCAGGGAAAGAGTGGAGGACAGAGCAGGCTGGCTTGGCTGCCAAGCAGTCATGGGGGTCTGGCTGGTTCAGAGGGGGTGGGAAGGGGGCGGGCGTCCTGCGGGCGATGGGTTTTCCGTCACTACTTCCTTGCCGATTCAGGGTTCGCAGATTCCCTGGGGGCTGCTGGCAGCGGCTCCCCTTCTCTGGGCGCCTGAGCTGCTCCCACACTTCCCTCCCTTTTGAGGTGGGCCGGATTCAGCCTCCCCTGTCTTCCCCTCTTGCAGCTGCTCTGGGAAAGAGAAGAGCAAACACATCCTGCAGGTGAGGAGACCGGGGCACCTGGCGGCTTTGGGGCTGGTTCCGGCCCCTTCTTCCCGTGTGGGCGAATCCCTGTATTGGAAAGGGAGGCGCTGGCAGCCCCCTCCCACCTTTCTGGAGCAAAGAGTATTGAAATTGCGGGAGGTGCTGCAGGGCTGAGCGTCTCCTCATCCTGCTGGCCTCATCACATTCTCTCTGTCCTCCTCTCCCCCCCCCCGCAGCAAAAATACGTACGCTGTTCCGTGCGGGCCCAGATCCGTCACCTCCGCCGGGTTTTGTGCTGCCGACTGGAACTGGCCTTGCAATATGTGAGTGGGGGTCCCATCTAGTGCAGGAGGGTTTGCGGGCCATGTGCCAAAGCCCTGGGGAGTGGGCTTTCTGGCCCCTGCTAATGAATGTGCCTTGCACCTCTCCCACCCAGGTACAGATCCTGTTTGACAACGAGGTGCTTCCGGATCACCTGACTCTGAAGCAACTTTGGCTCACCCGCTGGTTTGGCAAGGTGGGGGCCCATTCCCGGGCGGGCTGCCCTCTTCCCCGCCCCCAGGCAGAGCACTCACACGGCTCTCTTGTCTTCCAGCCAGCCCCTCTGCATCTCAACTACAGTGTGAAGGAGAAGAGGAGGTAGGGGGCAATGGACCGTGATGTCCCCTTCCCAGAGCTGGTGCCCCCCCCCCCGGCCCTTTAATTTAAGGATCTCTGCTCTTCCACGGGCATTTATTTTTGTAATAAAAAGACTGATGATGGACTCTTGGGCTCCAGCATTTGGCTCCTGGAATGAACAGGAATCTCTTTGCAGGGGGGGGGGGGCTGCTGAAGTAAAGCTGCAGTTCTGCAGGCTGGCCAGCTGGGGGCAGGACCACCCCTAGCCGGCCCTGGCCTGGAGGGTGGATTCCCCCTCCCTGTCCCTGGGCGGTGCTTTAATGTGCCTCAGCTAAGGGCTGTTTACCAGCAAACTCGATCCCCATCAAGCCCCCCCCCCCCTTCCAGGAGAAGGAGTGAGGAGCGAGGAGGAAGGCTCTCCCTGCAGTTTGTCTGCCTCCCTCTCGGTGAAGTCTTGAGGCTGGTCTGGGTGGACTAAGGCCTTCCCCCAGACAGCCACTTAGGACCCATTGTTTGGGCAGCCCTGACCCCCAGCATTTCTGCATTCCCCAAGCTGGGCTGCTGTCAGGCCGGAGTTTGCAGCCACTCTGCCGGGTTCTCGTTTCCTGGGGAGGCCAGCTGTTTTGGTTTCTCAGGCGCCGGAGGGCCCTTGGCCCCCCGCCCTTGCGAGGGAGCTGGTGAAATGATGGGGATCTGGGTGTGGGCGTCTGGGGGGGGGATGCATATCCCAAACTGAAGAATCTGCCTGGTTTTTGAGGGACCCTCTTAGTTTTATTGCGCCAGAGGCCAGGAAGAATTTTATACGTGCTCAGGGATAGTCTGCTTTTTCTTGGATTGGAAAGCTGAACTCTGGAAAAATTTTCCTTTCTGGCGGTGGGGGGGGGAGGTCTTTCCCCCTTTCTGGAATGCGCGCTATGGAGGGGAAACGGGGCGAGCGATCCGGTCATGCGCTGGGCTGCTAATAGCCAGAAGGTAATCCGAGCCGTCTTTCTTCCCCTCGGCGGAGCAGCCTGTGGCGGGGGGGGGGGGGCAGGGACGTGGGGCACTGCGTGCTTCCCAGCGCAAAGCATCCGGGGCTGGTCGGGGCAGCTGCCACATCACGCCCGAGCACAGGTCAGCAGGTGCGCGCTGGGTGCTTCTGCTTCTCCCCGAGGGCCGCTGCTGCTGCTGCTGCTGTAGAGCCCCCACCTCTCCCAGAGACCCTACTGGGGCTTGAACTTTCACCGCGGGCTCCCCCGCTCACCTGCGGGCATTCCCGGCGCAAGGGAAGCAGATCGGGCTGGCTTAGTCCGGCTTAGCGAACTCCCCTCGGAGCCCCAGGCGGTAATTGACGCGCCGGCAGTATCTCGACCCTCCCTCCGCGACCCTCGGCCGCCCGCCAAGAACAACCCCCGGCTTACGGAGAGCCTCAGCTTTCCGGACTCTTCCGAACCGAGAAACCGGGGGCCCTGCTCTTAGCCCGGCTTTTGGGTCAAGACCCACAGCTGCGCCCTTCTCTCCACCCTTCCCGCCCACGCGGAGAGACTTCTAGCTCCGTGCCAACCCGGGATCTCCTCCGGTTCTCGCCTGCTGGAAAGCCGCCGGAATTGCGGGCATAGCCGCCAGCGTAGCTGGGCGGGGGGAGGTGAAGCCCAGAGAAAGGAGCTGGACGGTTTCAGCGCAGCGCGGGCGCTCCGAGCCCCGCGCCGCCGACATCCCCGCGCGGGAGTTCCTTTTGCAAAAGAAACGAGGCGGAAGATCAGCAGCTGGCGGCCCCATAGCGAAAGTGCCGGTGGCTTCCCCGTGGGGCCGCCGTCTGTGGCGCCGCCCTTTCCTCTAGAAGCAGCTGCTGACTGCGGAGCTGGCATTCCTGAAGTCACGCGCGCAGGCGCGATCTCCTGAAAAGTCACAAATGGGCCAGTGATCGGGAAAACTGTTGGACTCTGCTCAAGAACATTCGGCGGCAGTGCCCCCGAAGCGAAGCTAGGAGGGGAAATCCCTGCACTTGTCCCAGTGGGGAAGCAGGGAAATGGCTCGTCAGCGACTTGGGGGCGCGGGGAGAGGGGGGAGGAAGTGAGGCAGTCGGTCTTTTTGATGCTAGGAAAGGGAACCCAAAGCCCCTTCCCCTCCTCCTCTCCCTGTTTTTCCTGCCCACAAGAGTTGGCACTTTCAGTAGTCCCAGGTGGCTCTTGGCGCAGACCAGGTCCGAACCCCCAGACCCTCCTCAAGCCACGTGCGGCAGATGACCTCTGGCACAACTGGTGCCAGCAGAATCTGAGAAGCGGGACTCTGCCTTCCGGTCTTTGGCACCGACCAACAAGTGGGCATCTTCAGACACCATCCGACCAAGCAGGGCAGAAGGATGGATCCCTGCAGTGGCCTTTGCAGATCCTCCAAGGTGTTGAGCTGCCTTCTTCCTATGCCGGCTGAACCTCCCCATCACCTGGCAGGAAGGGCCACCTGACACTCACCTGCCCAGAGCCCGGGTCCAGATGTCAGCTGAGGATATACGGGGTGGGGGTGGGGAGGAGAAGATCTCCAGCCAGGCTTCCCCGAGCAACGCAACGCGGCCTGGCTGAAGAGGAGCTCCTAGAGGCCTTAGAGGCCAGGTAGGGGCAGACGCTCCTTCCTCCTCCTCAGGGGCCGGGGAGCCCTGGACCACTCCCTGGCTTCATCCCATAGAAAGGCAGCTGAGCCCTGCCCAGCTTCGTTTGGCGCTTCCCCTCCCCCCCTGGCAGAGGCAACCGCCGCGCGGCCTTCAGGGGGAAGGAGCTGTCAGAGCAGAAGCGGGATGGAGGCTCCCCATAACGAGCTCACTGGAGACTAAGCTAATGAGAAAATCTAAAGGTAATTTTGTCAGAATGTTGCCCGATTGGCAGCAGGCAATGACTGGAGCAGCCTGAGCCAACGCAGCCATCCTAGCTGCGGGGGTGGGGGTGGGGGGCGGGGCGGGCATGGCTCAGCCCAGGACAGGTCATTTCGGGTGGACAGCCAAGCACACTCAAGAACCTGAGGCTGGGAGAAACCCCGCACAACGTGTGCTATTATGCACTGGCCACCAGCTCTCCGGCCAAGGAGCCCCACAGCTCCACGCACGAGCAGAACGACACTCTGTGCAAAGTAGAGGCTCCTGCAAGCGGCCCCAGCGGAGGACGCCATTTTCGGAGCGCTACGTGCTGCCCTCTGCATTACTTGGGGAGCGGGGATGGGCTGTGGGAACAAGCCTGACTCATCCCGCCTGTCTAGTCTTGGAGCTTCCCCACTTCCCTAGCCCTCCCCGGGGAGCCGGGCGCTGCGAGGACGGGAAGAGCCCAGTGCTGGGCTTCCTGCACGCGTCCGGGAGGATGCCGCTCACAGATGCCGGCACCGTCTCTTCTGGCTCCCGGTGCATCGTTTCTCCAGGATCTGCAGGGCCGGGGCAGGATCAGGAAGCCGCTCGGGCCAGTCCCATATCCGAGGACTTGGCAACTGGACCTGCTAACGCAGACCTGCTGTGCGTTCCTGGCCAGGAGCCTGTAGGAGAAGCGGGGAACGCGGAGGGCTTCAAAGGAGCCAGACGCGTCTCATGGATGCGTCCCCAGGAAGCACAATTGTCTGGACACTTGCACCGCAGGAAGGGGAGGCTGGGCTGCTGCTGGTCCAGGAGACGGGCCACATGGCCGCCGGCCAGCCAGACTGCACTAGGACGTGGGGTGCTGTCCAGCAGGCCAGAGCACACGGGGGAGGGGCTCACGTGGGGGGAGCAGTGTCAGCAACCCCCTGCTTTTTTCCGTGCTGGCAAGGCAGAGACTTTTCCTGCAATTGTGAGTTTATCTTGGTCAGCAAAGTTTACTTCAGGGATTCAGCCATGCCTTCCTTGCTCGAGGGGCACAACCCACGCTCACCGAGGCGCGGGGGGGGGGGGGAGCGAGAGTCTTGAACAAGGCCACTCAGACCTACTGCTAAAATAGCAGGTATATTCGATGTATCCATTAACTTGTTTATTCATTGTTTTTTTAAATTGTGCATAACAGTTTTATAGTGTAAAGACCTTTGCACTTCACAACTCCCAATGTCTCCCGGCAGCTTTGGCTTAGTTTGTTCTTTCAATCTGACACAGGTCAGAAAAGCTGCTTTGACACATGGCAGAAAAGGCTGGGCAGAGGGGCCTTCCTAGAGGGCTGAGGGTGGAGGAGGGCAACCTCGTGCATTTCTGCCCTTGCACAGTGCTCAGTGGCCCGCATTCATGGGGGAGAAAGCTGCTCATTGCCCTTGACCACTGTCCATGGTTGAGGAAACCAGTCTCTTAGTATGAAGCCAGTGGGTTGTGTGAATGAAGACAGATGCCCCACTCCAGGAACAGGCTGGCCAGGTGCTTCATCTGAAAGTTGTCTGTCGCACTTTCTGTTTAAACAGATTGTTGTACATCAGTTTGTCTGGGTGGATCAAAGGACGGGTGGACTCTCTAGAGGGCACTAGAAGAGGCAGCTGATTCGATCTCCTCTCTGGGCTGTGTGAAGCTTTACTGAACGCCCCGCCAATGCTTCGCATTTCCCCAGCAAAGAGGTTGAAAGGAAGGCACAGTCCAGGCTTTCCCTGCACCCTCTTTTCTGCTCAGCCAACATCTCGGAGCAGTCAGGTGGGGAATCCCACTCCTGTTAGGCCAGCGCCAGCTGACTCCTTCCGGTCAGCTTTTGCCGGCTGAGTGGTGAGATCTTTGGCTCCGGCCACCAGGGAAGAGCAGAGCAGAGGCCACCTGCCATCTCCAGCGTTGCCCGGGACCAGTTTTCTGATGCCCCCAAGGAGCCCCTGGCCTCTGATCTCAAAAGCCAGCCGAAGCCTCTTAGAGGATGTGAAGTTGTTAAATTTCTCTGGTCCCCTTCATGGGGCGGCTAGGCTGGTTGGGGGTTTTCTTCCGAGGACACACTGCAGCTGGTCTGCCACTGGTTCTCTTTTCAGAAGAAGCTTTGAAGGGCATTTAAGTGACACTGGATAGCTATTTTATATGCCGCCTCTGGACAACTTGAAGCCATCTTGACTGTTTACCAGGGGTAGGCGACCTTGGCTCTTTTATGACTCCTGGACTTCAACTCCCAGAATTCCTGAGCCAGCCATGCTGAGGGGAAAGGGAGAGGTTTCCAAGCTGAGCCATACTGGCTCGGGAATTCTGGGAGTTGAAGTCCACGA